TTTTGTTTGCACCATTTTAATGAAAATTCCCGTTGGTTCCTCACTTTTAACCTTTGAGTTAAATATGCGAACATTTGAAGAACTGAAAAATGCGTTTCTCACAGTTTTCTAGTGGTTATTGTATGTAATAGATAGGATTGCTTACAATAGTTTTTTTTCGTTAAATATCATTTCGAAAAGTGCAGGTAGATCGACTTCAAGTTTAGTACAAATGATCAAGAAAATATATATATATATATATATATGTATACTTTTGCACGTGCTAGTACTTTACTTGACAGGCTAGTTTTACCATCTTTTTATATTAATGAGTGATAAAAAGCTCATATTTAGCAATGTGACATGTCACTGTATGTTGAACTACATAAAATCTTGCCAGTTTAAAAGTGTCACCTGTGCTCTCAAATAGAGATAATGGGACATAGGAAAGAAGAAACAAAGATTATACTTGGGACCAGTCGTGCTCTAGTGGTTAGCATGTCCAGACTGAATCAGAGGGTTCATGGCTTATGTACCATTATCGCAAAACGCGCTCCGCACTTTGAGATTGTGAATACTCTGTATGAGTGACGAAGATATCTCAGTATTCGGTCAAACAAGAGTAGCCCAAGGATTGGCAGCGTTTACTGTTGAATATAGCTGCTTTCCCTCTGGTCTGTTAGTTCAAAATAATATTGTTACGACTCGAAGGTTCCTGAAGTCTTGAGCGTTTACTAAATATGCGGTATTCTTGTGTATAAGACTGGTAAGAAGTGACGGCAACAATGGAATGTAATTGAACTGCAGACAGAGATAGAGACGGACAGTTGAGTCGAGCACGTGAGTCGTTCGTTGTGAATTATAGCGTTTGTTATAGCGTGACTGAGGAAATTAAGTGTATTGCAAAGTTGTATTCAGAAAGAATAAACCAGTTTTATTTAAGAAAGGACTTGTGTCGCTAAAGTTTCATGGAAAGAAATTATACGGGAAATTAACTAACGACACAGAGACGAAACAATATGCTGATAGCCTATGTGTAGCTTTGCACTACAAAACACACACACACACACATGTATTTAAGCTTCAGGTTGAATTGGGGATTTATAGTAAAGTTGAGTAAATTTTGATATTAAAATCTACACGGAGTTGATGGTGCAATTATGGGAGGGGGTAAGTCATGATGTGGTCACATTACCATGACCACATCAATGCAGCATTTTAACAAGTTTTGGTATAACTTACGTGAAGGTGCTAGCAGAAGTGCATAAGAACTTTTATTTTAGACCATATTTATGAATTCCTATTAAAAGGTTTATGAAGATTATATATATATAGATTATCAAGTGTCAATGATAAATAGTTTATACACCACCTCATTGTTCCTCCCCATTAGTGATGAATAGTTATGATCCAATCTTTTTTTCAGTGCACATCCAAAAGATAACACGAGAACTGCATAAGTGTTTTGTTCTTTATAGACCATATTTTTTTAAACACTTATAAAGAAAAAATCTAAATTTCATCAATTGATCCTTTTTTTTTTGGAAATTACTGAATGCTGTACAAAATAAATGTTACTGTATTTTTAAAAAGAAAAGGAAATTTCATGCTACTGAAGAATTAGTGTTAGGTTGTAAAGAAAGGATTAATAAATATTGACCATTTTAGATACTTATAATGGCCATACAACTAAAAATTATGAAAAGATAACTTGGATGTATTTCAGGAACTTCTGTATGAAGGAACAAAATAGTTTATAAAGTACTGGTAAAAGTACCAATTCTGTGATATGTTATTGTTACGTCTCTGGTCGTTAGTTAATTTCCCGTATAATTTCTTTCCGATGAAACTTTAGAGACACAAGTCCTTTCTTAAATAAAACTGATTTATTCTTTCTCAATACAACTTTGAAATTCACTTAATTTCAACGGTCACACTATAAGTTAAACAAACGCTATAATTCACAACGAACGACACACGTGCTCGACCCAACTGTCCGTCTCTATCTCTGTCTGCAATTCAACTGCATTGTTGCCATTACTTCTTGGTGGTCTTATATACAAGAATACCGCATATCTAGTAAACACTCGAGGCTTCACGAAGGGACATGAATTTTCTAGAACCTCATGACGTGTTACTAGAATCACATGACTTCCGCTGTTGTAACATTATTATTAACGAAGAACTTCATTGCAGGTACTTAATCCAACCACCCAAAATATACTTTAAATGCTCTGTCTCAGTGGTGCAAAATAATTTTGGATACTTTGATGTTAAAAATGTGTATTTTATTGTTTATATAATGCTTTTTATATAACACATACAGAACACTACAAACGTGTTTGTTTTGTATTTAACAATATGTTTATTTTATGTTTTATTATTTTTAAATATTGGACTCTGTACATTTAGTGTAAGATGAAGTTACAGGATATTAATGGAAAAACAAGAGCTACTTAATAAGACAATAATTTTCATACTTAATGGCATAGCATGAATAATTCATTTGAACTGTGAGAGATTATTAGAATGAAATTAAAGAGTGTACTTTGAATGAAAGGAGGGGTGACGCCAAGTTGTTTTTATGAACGTCTACTTATATAGTCATGGAATGAATAGAGCAAGGTTTCACAAACTAGTTTGTGAACAACAAAATTTTCCTAGTTTTTATTGCATTGGTTACTACTAGAATAATAAACATGTAGAAATAGCTATCATGTAAGCATAATTTAATGTTATCTCTTTACCTAATTTGAATTAATTGGTTACAATT